CTGTTCTTGCTGAAGCCACAGGTCTCACACACACATGCCTTCTCGCTCCTCCCCAAACTCAAATGATCTCCTCTACCTGGACAAACACCTTAACTATTAGTAACAGGCCACGTAGGGTGCAGTAGTTTGCCAGGTGCTAACAGTCCAGCTAGGATGCCCACAATCCGAATCAGAGTATTTGACCTTGAAACCCAGCTCTGGCCCCCGACTTAGGCTTCCTGTTAACACACAACCAGGAATGCTGCAGTGAAGACTCCAGCGAACGGTTCCTCATCAGCCACACGGAGATCTGAGCTGAGTTCCTGGTCATGCCGTTCCCCTGACTTGGCCCAGGCCATTACAGCAACTGCAGAGAACACCAGTGGAGGGGCAGTCACTATTTTCCCAGCTCTCTCCTGTGTATGCTTCAGTGCCTGTGCGTCTGCGTCTGTATCCCTCAGATTTGGCCTATGCTTCTGCAGTGATTTTTTAAAGATTTATTTATTTATTATTGCAAAGTCAAATATACACAGAGGAGACAGAGAGGAAGATCTTCCTTCCACTGATTCACTCCCCAAGTGGCCACAATGGCTGGAGCTGAGCTGGTCCGAAGCCAGGATCCAGGGGCTTTTCCATGTCTCCCACACAGGTGCAGGGTCCCAAGGGGTTGGGCCGTCCTCCACTGCTTTCCCAGGCCACAAGCAGGGAACTGGATGGGAAGTGGGGCTGCTGGGATTGGAACTGGCACCCATATGGGATCCCAGCATGCTCAAGGCGAGGACTTTAGCCACTAGGCCACCGCACTGGGCCCTCTTCATTTTTTAAAAGACCCCTCATGGTGCTAGGTGCTACTTCCAGCTTTGCTCCTGTGCTTTCAAGACCCAGCTCAGGCAGAGACGTTCTCGGGACCCCTGCAGTGCAGTGTTCTTGGGCACCTCTGAGTGATTCAAAACAGTACACTGTGTACAGAGCCTAAGGGTGATGATTACTTTTTCTTCTTTTGCTGAATGAAAATAGTTGTTCTTCATATTACCCTGGAATAAGCCCTAAACAGTACACTTTCACATCATTCACATTTCCAAGCTATGCCAATTGTAAGCCATTTACAGTCAAAAAAATCATTGGCTTGACGCTAAAATTAACTGGGAGAAGTCACCAGGAATCATGCTGAGGTCTGGAAGGCATGGTGTGGAAATCAGAATTCATCTGGATATTGAAAGGCTTGCAGCAGTTCTTACTACAGAGTTTAATGTTTTTTTAAACATGCAGAATCTACTCGAGTTTCTTATGAAGTCCATTAGATATTTCGAACTCTTTTCTCTATTTACTGTTAAGGACTGACCCAAGCACAGCTATCATAAATTATTCTAATTGGGGAGAGAGGTTGCAGGACGAGGAATGAGCAATCAGCCAATCAAATCACACGCCAGCACGAGAACTTTCCGCCTTCCGTCCGGCCCCTCCCCAGGTGATCCTCCATCATCCAGCACAAGGCATCGGTCCTGTTCCCCTTAATTTGGATAGCACAGCAGACAGGGAACTCGGTTAGCACTCCTCCAGGAACAACAGTGCTGCTAAGTGCCCTACTCCCTCTTTCTCCTCTGCTCTTCCCCAGTCCTCATTAATTCCTCTGCTCTTTGCACTCTGAATCTCTTCATCTCCAAACCCAGGCCTCTGGGCCCATGCCAGACTCCGCCCTGCACGGAGCAGACCATCCCACCTCCTGTTTGCTTTTCTCAGGTAAAGAAAACCTTGACTCCCTCTGCAATGCCCTCCCCCCGGGCCCCCTCCCAGGCCATAGTGCCTGAAAAGTCTGACCGAACTTGTTGGTTCATATGAAAATGCAAAAGGCCCAGGGACAGAGAACAGGATCACTTAGCAACACCTGATGTGCAAGGACAGGTGCAGACAGCACTTGCTCCTGGCTTCCCACTGACCAGCTATCCAGGTGGAATGCATCTCACAGCGGCAGAAAAGGGGCTTGGGGTGGAGAGGACAACCCCTGTTCTACTTAAGGTTAAAAACGAAATCACAAACACCTTCTCACCAGGAGCTTCTCCCTGAGTCTAGGAACCAGGGATTCCACCCTCCCGTTTCAAATGGGTGCTGCAGAGCCTGCTGCAACAGCCTTGCAGACACTCACTGAGGTTCCTGTCCCCTCGGACTCAGCCTTGCCTAAACGCTGCTGCTGTGAGTGAGGAGCAGCCTAAAGCACGAGCCCACAATGGCCTATGAGGTTGGTTCTTCCTGCTTTCCTCCGAAATAATCTTAACACAGGTTTTTCTTTTATGGATTGATTGCACAATCCCGCCTCACATCTATGAATACTTCCTTTGCTTTGACTCATCAGTATCTTTCAAAAACTCAAATTCAAAGTTTTTTCTCCTTTTTCAGACTCTATATTGTTTTTTTATTTTCAAGTTAAAAAACTGGCCGGTATCCTAACTGGGAAGGAGTTCTGGCATCTCCCAATCAAATCTACTTCACAGAGGATGAAAAACCAGTGAAAATGGGATAAGGGATCTAGCAGCAAAGTTTTAAAACTAGGCAAAAAAAAAAAAACCCAAAAAGCCAACTGCTTATCATACAACACTGAGATGTGTAAAATACAGTTCTTAAAGCACCATTATTCCTACACCTTGCCAACAAAGTCAGTATCAATTACAACTGGAAACTGGAAATTGCAAGCACTAAAAGTTACTGTAACTGACACCATGATTTTGAATAAATTACAGGTCTTTCAAAACAACCACACATTTTATATTCCTTCTGGCTTTAGAATTCACTATTGAAACAAGTGTATGATTATTTCTCTAATTTCAAATAAACCTACATACAACAAAGTTTTTTTAAATGTAAGATGGCTCACACTAACGCAAACCAATAGTTCTAGTCGGAACAAATGAGACACCCGAAACAGAAAAAAATAAAAAATAAAACACATGCTTTAAACAATGGCCACGAACACCAGCTTTCTAGTTGCAAAAGGGCAACAACTTAGTCGGAGAAAGTACTCACTGGGGAGAACGAGAGCAGAATCCCCGGCCTCCTCTCCTCCGGGCGCTGACGGGCCACACGCTTTGTAAGGGTGCTAGCAAACGCACACTACAGTTTCAAGACAATTCAGATAAGTGCTTCACTAAAATACACAACCCCGTTAATCATCTCCGTGACAGTGCTCCAATTTAACATCTTGGGGATTTCCTCCCCTTCTTCATCATTTATTTGCCAATATTTCCTTGTTATGAGTATCCCCCTGGTGACCTTCCCTGGCAGTCACAGCTGTGCTGCCTACGGTGTCTAGCGTGACTACAAATAACACTGATTTTTAGCAAAGCAAGCCTTGGAGGCGATTCCTACCACTAGACGTGAAGCCTTCCGTCAGACCAAAATCCTGGTGGCCCTGTGCGCGCTCCTGTCCGTCTCCCGCAGCTCACCCGCCAAGAAGCCAGGGATTTCAACCACATGAAACTGGCTTCGTGGCACACGGGAGCCGTTGGTTGTTGTTCTCCCCTGATCTGAGTGCTCAACCACTATCAGCTGCTTTCACTCAGTCCTTAAAGGGCACGCATCCCATCCACCAAAGCCTTCCACGTTTCCACAGATCACAGCAAGGCCACGAACTCAGCGACACAGAGCCAGTCAGCAACAGTCAGCAGCAACCATTGGCTCACAGGTATGGAGCTGTCTACAAATGATCATCAGGAATAAGTTCAAGTTAGAATTACACCAAGTCTGACCACAAAAGTCACACTCGCTGGACAATGGGATAGCACAGAATGAGGCCAAAGACGAGTATGGAGTGAAGACCCAGTGACCAAGTTCTCCACCAGATCATGCGCGGCCAGAAAACGACCCCAGCTCCATCCAGCATCCCTCTCCGTGTCCATTTCACAGCGCACCTGTCACGGCTACCAAGACTTCCTGATGATTTTAAAGAAGGAAACCACAAAAGAAAAATGCTCTAAACCAGAGACAGGAGTAAATAAAAGTCAAACTCACCAGCTTGTAATCAGAAAGGAATTCTAAAGGGAAAGAGGGGGCACTTTCCCCCCAAAAATGTCACTTTACTGCAAAAGAAAGAGTATGAAGACAAAAACACAACAACATATATTTGCAAAATCTATCCAGAAAGACGTATGCCTATAGTGGAATTATACATATGTAATTTTACACTTTGTGCGAGGAAATTTAATTCATTAAAGGCTAATTCTGTTTCAACCAATAGTTTATAGCTTCTCTGGCAGCCATACATTTCTATCCCTTTCTAAATGACTCCAGTTGAATTACTGTTTAGATTTTTTTTAAACTTTCCTTTTAGCAAAAGCAATACACATCAAGTTACGATATATTAAAATGCCATTTCCTCCCCCAGAGCAGTGTTTATTTTAGCGATAGTAACAACACCTTGTTACCCAAAGTGCAGATTCTGTTAAGTAATGGACAAAGCAAATGGCAGCAAAGACAGAGGACTCAACTTCAATTTAACTGTCCTGTAAGGTACATAGTAATTAGCTGCAGAGCTCTGAAATCTTAGCTAGCATGTTAAGTCTGCTACATGACAGTATAATTTGACTTCTTAAAGGATTATGCAAATTACAACTCATCATTCCATTACAGGATTGAAAAAAAGTGACAGCTAATTTATACATAACACACCTTTCAAATCCCTAAGATGCGTAGCACCTGTGCAATGTATTTTCCCGAGATTTTCTTGCATATAAGTACTTGTTTATTGCAATATAAAGAAGCTTACCTAAGAGCTTTAATACACACATTAAAAAAAAACTTTTAGTCTCCAATTTCAAAAGAATAAACATCTTTTTCTGTGTTGATCTGAGAGGCTCTCTCTCTATATATATATATATTTATTTTCATTTTATTCTAATTTGATTTTGGTTCTCCCCCACTAAATTAGATAAAAAAAATAAGGTCTCAATGCAAGGATATTTTTGAATAGCTGGCAACCACAAGCACTGAAGCACGAGCCAGAAGGAAGACTCACAAAGATTTCAACATAC